TTTTTTTTTATAATCTACCTCCTTTGAAAAATTAATTTTAATAGCGTTCTCATTAGGTCTCACTAATTTTCATACTTTAAGATTTGGTACCAATTTATACATTCGACTCGCCGCCTTCGCATCCTTCGCCTTCAATCGAACTACCAGAAGTGACAGCCGACGATCGCGCTTACGTAGTCTACAGTTCTGGTACTACCGGTAAACCTAAAGGTTTGTTAATTTTGAGTTTTTTGCTGGAATCGTATTGATTTTTTTGCTTTTCATATTGCTTTGAATCGGATTGAGGCCTCTGGAGAGGTATCAAAATTAATTAAAAAATTAGTGTATTCATGAAATATAGGTATCGAGTGTCCACATCGAGGTGCCGTGTTATCTTACAAATATCGCTTTCACAAATATCCATACGAAGAGGGCGAACGAGAAGCGTGCAATGTGTTTTTCGTCTGGGAGCTGTTTAGACCAATTCTTAAAGGTTTCAAAGAACTTCTGATAGAAAAAACTTCTATAGGGCCTCAGTCAAAAAAATAAAAAATAAAAAAACCGCATATTCAGCAGGTCATTCATAAAATTACTTTTTCCTGTTTTTTAGACTCTGAACTTTTTTTGACAACTGCTTTTAGCAAATTTTCATTTACCTAGTCAAAAAGAGCCGACCAGATAGTCGATTTAGGGATCCAAATTTCTGGGGCTACAAACAAAAAGCAGCCATGACGGGCTTCTCACTCCTGAGCTGTATGTGTTCAGTTAGCGGCTATCGCCTATTTGATGAAGCTACGACACCTTTGCAAAAACCACAGAAGTGGTACTTTATATTTGTGGGTACCGCTTGTTGGAACATGCTGCCCACCGATTGTTAAATTTTATTAAACTCGGGTAAATTTTAAACAAAACCACGTAAGCTTATATCTTCAGCGACTTCTTTACCGAACAAATCCGATTGCACTGTCAGAATTTGCCTATTATTTAGGTTGAAGTGTATGTGCTCAAGGATAAGTGAATGATTTTATATGAACCAACTGAAGATGTGGGACAACAAAATTTCGGTTGAATTCGGCGAACAAATTGCTTTATAGCAAAGCTTTAATTTTAGAAAATCAGGAGAAAATTTTGCTTGAATTTTCAAAAATTTCCTTCCAACACATAAAATTTTGATAAAAATTCAGAGGTGAGGATTAAATTTTCTCAAAAGTACATCAATTCCTTTCACAATTAAAGGACTGAAGGTAGAAAAACAATGTTTTAACATCCGGAATTTCATATTCAAAAAGGAAAAATTCTCGAGTTTTTTAGGAATTCGCATGCACGTGATTCCGGATAATGTCATTTACGATCCGCCACAACTGTGTCGATTCCTGAATGCAAAAAAGATAACACGGATGCTGTTCACGCCGTCGCTGCTGGAAGCTGTTCTGGATACGCAAACTCCGGAAACTATTCGAGGAGCTTTCAGCTCATTTGGGTACTAATTTTAGCTCTTATCTTCTCGGAGGAAACACTGCGGTTGAGTTTTTTTTTGCCATATTTTGCCTCCCTCATTCAAGTGTTATTTACAAGCAAGCCGATGACAGGTTTGTTTCTCACGTATGTGGTAAGATCGATTTACAAAGAATGAAAGAATTGTAGAAGGACTGATTGTCAATTTATGTTGTCTATAAAATATTTTCAGATACGCTTGCTGCTAATAAAACTAATTTTTGCATACTTTACCAGTTAACAGCACATTATTTCTAGGACAATATTTCTGTGTGGTGAAGTAGTGACTTACTCACTGCTGAGACGTATTATTGATATTCTTCCTGAATTACAAGTAAGCATCACATTTAAAAGCATTAACAAAAAGACATGGGCAGTAATTTTCTTTACTAGAAAGAATATGCAAACATGTTCGCATTTGTGCTGTGAGAAAAACATTTTTATTATAATTAGTTGGGAGCGCAGCAGAAACTGTTGGTACTTTGATGTGTCGATCAGCTGCAGTTCAGTCATACCAGCTTTTAAATTTCCCAGTTAACTTGGCCAATGCTGGTGGTTAGTTCGCTGGCATTCCTGACGTCCAATTTCGTCTCTTAGGAAGACACCGGCTCAACGGATTTCTTAAAATAGAACCAATTGGTATAATTGTAGCTAAGTAGGAACATTTTGTTATTTGCTTGCTTAATATTTTTCAGATCATAAATGTGTACAGTATCTCTGAATGCCATGATGTGGCATATGAGAATCTCACCGAATTTTATTACACTAAGACGCCAAAGAAATATGCGCCAGTTGGGCGAGTAATTCCTGGAGTCAAAGTTGCTGTTTTTGACACATCTAATGGACTAAAGCGAGTTCCAGTCGGGGTTTCTGGCGAGGTACTACTTTTCTCAAAATACCAAGAATATCGAGCTCATTTGGATGACCAGTGGTTGTTATTCCATATTAATGATGTTACTGAAATACTCCCATACACTACGCTAGTTGTACACGTCTGAATTTTGATTTTTCAAAATAAATAAGCAGTAATATGGCGAGAGTTTCTATGCAGTAAATGAAAGAGCTTGGTGCTGGGTAAAGGAAGAGTATTCTTAATAATCGTTTCAAGGGCATTAGATATAATACGACTAGATTTCAGATTTTTGTTGGTGGCCCAACACTCGCAACCGGATATATAAATCGACCGGAGCTGAATCGGAGTCGCTTTGTTTCGGTACCGGAGGAACTGCAGAGTGAGCTTGGTGAACGAATGTACAGGACTGGTGACTGGGGATATTTGCTGCCTGATTCCATCTTAGAAATTTGTGGACGCTGTGATTCGCTCGTTAAAATTCGTGGATACAGCATCGAAATGCTGGTTGGTTCTGGGAATTAGGATGAAAAAAGTCGTTACAGTGGAAGCTAGCTGCGCACAAACTCAGTGGCTTCTCACAAAACTACCCATGTGATCATTGCATGCTTGATTTTGGATCTAGGTCCTGTAAGCTCCATTTCTTCTCGTTTTTCTTTGTGATTACTTTCCAGGTAACTTTTAGCTTACTCCATAAAGACGAATAATTCAGACTTGAATTTGGAGCCGCTACAACTTACGTAGGGTGCCAAAGAAATTTGTACATGTGCAACAACTATACTTTCTTGTTGCTCATACACTCACTGCAAAGCGAAATGGTTAAAGGATGAGGAACTTTGTAGGCCGTAGAAGCAGCCATCCTGGAGTTGCCGTACGTGAAATCATGCGTAGTGGTAAGCGTGGGCAGCGAAGGAAGCGACAAGCAGTTGGCAGCTTACGCTGTGCTCAATAAAACAGTTTCTAGGAAGCAAATGAGAGCAGACTTAAAGAAGCGCCTACCTTTTTACATGGTTCCCAATTACTTCGTTTATCTGGACAGGTCAGTTCCATCTTTACAGATTGGCATTCTGTATAGGTACGTGTTTATGTGTATAGATGTGTACATATGTTCATGCACTCGGGCTTGTTGTTTGTCTGTTTACACATATCTAAGGGTGTCTGAAATAATGAACCTGCTGTCTTGGAAAATTCTCAGAAAAGCTGGCAAGGAGCCGCCACAAAAACGTGAAAATCACTTGTGGCAAAAAGGGAAGAAAAATGTGTGTTCTGCGTTGAAAGCCAGAAACACAGGAGATGCTTTGACAGGCTGAATCTTACACAGGAACTGACGGTGTGGTGGGTACCACGTTGCGTCTGGATGTTAGGGGGAGCGGTTCAATTCCCTCCCACTTCATAACATTTTTCGACAAGAGACTCTATTTACAGCTAGTAAATAGCAAGTCACGTTAGAGGGCTACTGAGGTGATTTCTTTTTTCGGCACTTTATTCCGAACGTTTCCGAACTAGTACTAACCTATGATACCACTGTTACAAAAACAAAAGAGAGTTTGTACTTTTACATAACCTACTGAACTGTGCAGCTTGCCGGTGGTTCCGTCATCATCGAAAATTGACAAACATGCACTTCCTGCAATCGATATGCAAAATGATGTGGTAGAAGCAAATGCGTTACCGAAAACCGCAACCGAGGAGCGATTAGCCAAGGTTTGGGCTGAAGTATTATCGCGGTCAGTGATCGATATTCAGGAAAGCTTCTTCGATCTTGGAGGGTAAGTCAGTCAGGTATTACCAGTTCTTTCGATTACAAAAAACATTTCCACAAGTCTTCAGAACACGCTGCACCTTGACGACCGCAAAAGTAAAATTCACTGGCTTATTTGATTGCGAAGCTTAGGCTGAAGCTCTTGGCAACGGAAAAACTCTTAATCTGGAGGTGCTTTAACTTTTTAAAGTCCTTCCCAATTCTCAGTCGTGTATCTCCCATCTATAATTAGTGCCATTTACTATCTTGGCTCCTTTGTGTGACTTCTGTCCTGGTTTCTTTATAATAGCCTTTAGTTCTAAGTCTGTTCGAGCGTGAATCGCGATTGTAGCTTGTTTGTCACCCAGCTTCAAATAAATCAACTAGACTTAGCTGAAAGGTGAGATAAATGTTTTCCTAATTCAGTCACTCACTGATGGCAGCTCGTTTGCTGCGTAAAGTTGAGGATGAATTCGGTGTGGCATTAAGTATGCGCGATCTGTTCGCCACTGGCACGGTATCATCGATGGCTCGGCTTATTGATCATAACGAGAACGATGTACTCGAGCAGTCCATCAGTCTGGCTCATCAGGTCAAAATACATGACTACAAGGATAATGTGTTCGTTTCATCCCTTTATTCTTGGAAATCAATTGCGTTTTAGGACAGTACCCGGATGAGGGACGTAAAAAAAAAGCAAGTGACTGCTGTTAACTACCACACGTTCTCCAAAAAATTGGCCCAGGATTACCAGTAATATTAAATAGTGCTTCAGATACGCTTGTTTTCCGACGTACTATGTTAAGAAGAAGCGCTAAAAAAAGATACTAATTTTTGTTAATTTGTTAATTGCCGGGTGTGCCAATTTGAGCTGAAATTGCTTGCACGTCAAGTCATTATGAAAAGTTCCAAATGGACTGCAAGATAAAGACAAAAGTACTGAAGAGGCTTAAGAAAAAATTGCACCGGACGACATTTCTAGCATCTAATTGAAATATTGCTTGTAAAAAGAAGCAAAAATTATCGTCATAAGGTCGGTTGAATACAATAAGGCTAGCATTTATTGCAGAATGGATTTACATTTACGCGCATTTTGGCGTTCTACGGAATGGGACTATCGCTTCTCACGTGGCACTGTCCTGCTCACTGGTGTTACCGGTTTTATTGGTTCACATCTACTTGTTAAACTTTTGCTCACTTCTAAGGTACCTGAAATGATAAGCCAATGATATAGGCGCAGACAGAGGCAAAAACGCTTATCACTGTTTCTAAATTATAGAACTTCATTGAAAGCTGAAAATAATTTTGTCATTTATCGCACTTTCCTACCTTAGATACTACTCTTACTGCAACCAAGTAATTTTTCAGGCGCGAGTGATCTGTTTAATAAGAGAGAGCACAGCCGTCAGTGTCCAGTCCAGACTGGAAACTAACATCGAGAAATCTGGTCTCCTTAAATCTCGTTTCAAAAAAAGAAAAAAAAAACCATTTCATAAGTGCCTCTCAATTTCTCATTTTCCACATATTTTGTTTCTCTAACATAGTGAAAACAAAAAATCAAAATCCTCTTAGTATTTGCTCTGTGTGAAGGGCTAATGCACCTTCGAAGCAACTTGAGTAGTGGCAAGTGCTAACAACAACAGAAGATAAGCGTAAGCAAAGTTGATGATGACCATTCAGTATTTTTTGAGCTGTCAGATTTCTCTTTTTAGTTTGTACAAATTCATTTGATCGCATCATTTTAAAATCATGAACACTGGACTCAGCTGATCTCACAAACAAAACTTCTCTTTCAAACCGAGTGCAGGTGGATAGAGTGTAGTTAGACAGCATGTCACGATTCGAAGGATCCGCTGATAATGAAATGAGCAGTTCGGTCTGTTGTTTCAGAAAGCGAATACATTTTTTCCTTCGTAAACAATAGTTCACAACAATTGGTCAGCATCGAAAGAAAATAGACTTTTTGTTCCTTAAAAACAAATTTTTCAAAACTAAATGAAAAACTTGCCGTAAAATCGTGGGAGGAAATTGGCGTGTTTTATAATTACAATTTTATTAATGGACAATTTCTTCATGTGGCAAAATACCAAAATAAATGTCACTTTGGTTCTTTTTAAATAATTGTTTTTCAGGCTTAATGACAAACACAGTTGCGAATTTGCTGAAAACTCGCGTAAAAGCGATTGCTGGTGATGTAGCGCTGATTCACTTAGGTCTCACTGAAGAGGATTACTTATTTCTGACGTATGAGGTCGACACGGTGGTTCATGCTGCTGCCTACGTCAATCTCATATACCCATATCAAGTAAGCGATCAATTTCGCACATAGAAATGGGGTCAAGATGAGGATTTAATGATGAGCTTATGAAAATAAATTTAGGAAAATTTTCTGCTTTGAAGTGCAGATACTTTTATAGGCACTGCACGGTATAAATGTATTGGGCACAAGAAACATTCTGGATTTTTGCCATCAGAACAAAATCAAGCCTCTTCATTACATCAGGTACATTGTTTACTTCATACGTTCGCAGCAATTTTAATAAAATATACATAAAAATTCTCATTTTTGAGGTCATATGATAAGAGCAAGAAGTTAAAGTGATAAGCTGTTATGAGCTGCAAGTGAATGGAAGGATGCATACAGAACTTTATTATGCTCATGATTATGCGTTTTTGCTTATATGCAAACGCAAAAACACATATTGTGACGACGCCGGTGTGTATGTGTATGTATGTATGTATGTATGTATGTATGTATGTATGTATGTATGTATGT